TTACAATACCTGTCTTGTGTTAGCGTTCTCGAGATTTTCAGTTTACCCCTGGCAATTGCATGGACAACGATTGCAGAGGACGTTGGCAATCGTTAAAATTCTCGTAGAACGGGAAACGAATTCGCGCGGTCTCGGTTCGTTAACGTCGCCGGTGGTCCTCGTAATTCGGGCATTCTGTCTATATCATCTGGTTGAACGTGGCCGCCGTGTGGAATCTTCTCTTTGGAATGGTAATTAGCTGGCACGTATAATCAAAGGAATACGCGGAGTCCACGTTAACGATGCCTAAGAGCTTCGGAACGTTCGATACAAATGGCCGTGCATGCGGGACATCCCGCGTCATTAATCCTCATTGCGGCTTGAAGGCCGAATTAGACGTGCAGTTTAGTAGTCGGTGATTAATACGGTGACCGGGGGTCGAGTCTCGATCGCGAGCTATCTCGGCTGTAGACAGGATGACGGACAGGAAGAGGATCATCCGTTTAAGCCGTAGAAAGCATTCAGAGTCAGAAATGTTATCGTGCCGCACGAGCCGTGCCCCGGCTCGTTTTCTTTTTCTGTCGTCAAACCCTCTCCTCCGCTCGCGCATCAATCTGCATCGCGTTTTAAAACCGTCCGTCAACCCTGCCTGATAAATCCTTCTCCGTTCGGGCAAGGACGCACCGATATTATTTATCTCGCTGACAAATTTCAGAGTGAATTATGTCCGATCGGTCTCAGACAGAGATTTCGGAGAACAGCAATTGATAATAAAGTATTTGGACGACAGTTTCTGAAATGGTTCAGGCTGGGATCCGAAAAGTGACTGAGGTGGTTGAAGCAGAGTTTGATTTCTAAAATTTAATATCTGACTCGTTATTCTTTCGGAAGGATGTCTACGGAATAATTATCTTTCACATTATAGTTTCTGCTAGTAGTTTGTACACAGAAAAGCCTTACCGATCCGACGAAAATTGAAAATTCGTGGAAATAGAAATAATGAAACCGAAAAATCGTCTAAAAATAATACCAAGATTAATTAAAAGGAAAAGAAAAATTTTGAAGATTGTTACTTCCCCGTTTAGACAATGGAAATTAGCCAATTCTCTTGGAAGAGAAATTCAAACGTATCGAGATGAACCTATTAACCAAATTTCCTCAATTTGCAACAGTCGAACTTCGCGTGATGCACAACGTGCCAGCGTAAACTAAAAAAAAAAAAAAAAAAAAAAACAATTTTGGGGTTCTGCCGTAACAAAATCTTTCGCCGCGTAGATCGCTGGCAATTCATCCCCGAATAGATCGGCTAACGAAGCGTACTGATTTCGGGGAATTGCATCTCTGCCCCGGGCGCAGCGCACAAAGGGGTTAATTTTATCATATTTCCGAATGTGTATTGCATCGCATCTGCATAATGCGCTCTATAAACGAGACAGTAATACACGGTAATTCACTCACCGTCCGTGATGCGGCCCGACGTTTCCGCTATCGAAACTCGAACTCGCTGTGATGTCTGCATCGGGAATCGCACCAGATTCCATCCCCAGGGGTGCGATGCATTGTGCTGCAAACAAAGGAAATTGCTTTGATTATATACACGTCCGTATTCGTTCCGCGCGTATTTTCGTCCTGAGGAGGGTGTGATTACTACTCGAACGCTTTAATTGTTCTGAACAATCATAATATTAATTTGAACGCATTCCTTTGTGCTCGCCTATGGCAGTATTCTGGCCAAATTGCTAGCATGTTCCTATTCATCGCGCGCTATGGAACGCTATTAGTTTCTATATCTCTGTTTGTCTCTCTGTTTGCGAAAGTCTCGAAAACTTAATCACGTCCTTCTCATTCTTCCTTTATTAATAAATCGCTGCTATTGATATAATCAATGTATAAACTGTTACATGCTGAAGAAAAGATTGTGCTGGAAATTGCTAAGCGACACTGTACGCGTAATCTTAACGCAAGTGATTGAACACACTTAGACGTGCTTAACTACCAACCATCACACAAGTACCAAAATGAAGAAAGAAAAACGAAACAATAGTACAACTGTATAAGTAAGCACTTTACGAGTAGTGTAACACACTGAAAGCAGCACGCCGTACCCGTGGCAAGTTCACCATCTGTTTTCGCCTGGTTGTTCCATCGTCAGATGATATTCGCGCCGTTATTTTCGGCCGGACGCGGTTCATCGAGCGGTTCATTACACGTTTCGAACGGCCTGTAACCAACTGGCGCGCGATTACGAGACGGGGGGGAAGGGCGTGGTGCACACTCCCGTGGCCACGTCGTATTTTTCTCGAGGGCGACGCCGTGCCTCGGCGATAATTGCGATACACCGTGGCACGATACCAAGAAACGCTTTCCAATCACCAGTGCAAAGGCGCGAGAAACGTTCCCGACTCGTCCGAAATTGCACTGAACTGGTTTTCGCTACACGCGACCCGATCGGGCCATCGTCGTGCAAATAAAAAGCCATCGCGTCGTTCGCCTGCTCGTCGAGCGAGAAAGGGCCATCAAAGCGGGTCTGTTTACTCGAACGCGTGAAATCGGACTTCACGGGAATACGAGGATAACGTACGAGCGTTTAGTGGGAAACCGAGCCGGCGTCGAGAACGAGAGGACGCGTCGTCCACCATTTGCGGCGGCAGCTCGATAAACCTAGCGCGCGAAAGAGGAGGATCGGGTTCGCCGGAACACGGTGGCCAAACGACAGCCGTTTCCTCGAGCTGCACACTTGGGAACGTCAATTACGATCACGATCGTTGTGTACCTACCAACGTCTTAAATTCACGACCGTCGTCTGAGTACACAAACAGAGTTTCACGGGTTACTCGAGGGTTTTAATTATTTTGAACAGCCGTCCGGGGGTTAATTATAACGTCGTGAGACGTTTCCTAGAATTGTAGGAGAGGGGACACGTTTGTGTGGAATGTGGACTGAAAGAGTTAGGTACGAAGTGACGGTGAAGTTTCTTTTAACGGAAGATTGCATCTTCGTTCTCTAATTTGTTAATTGAACGTTTAAATTGCGAGATTTCTACGATCGGAGAGAATTAAAAGTTAACGCACTAACTGACGCGTTATATATGGTTCTAATCTTTCCTTCCAAAGTATTTATATAATCATGGAGTATTTATATAATCAAAATCAACAATTTATATTTTTACGAGTATTATATAATGTAACGTGATATTTTATAAAAATTCAATTAAAATTTTTATTATTTTCAGTCAATTATAAATTGGATTTATTACTATGTCCAATTGACATTTAAATAACAAGATAACTCATCTTTCCTAGTTAATAATTGTATTTTTTTCAAGATAAATTCAAATGAATTTATAGATAAATTTTATTATTATCCCCATAGATTGACAATTCGAGCGACGAGGTGTAATTCATTCTCTCCAATCAACAAGTTAACAAATAATCTTTTTCAGGATGAATTCAACTGATTCCAGAGATAGATCTTTTCTAACCAATTTTTCACAACTTCCATCCGCGACGCTAATTAAGACACGCACTTTCCATACACAAACTTTCCAATTTCTGAAACAGTAAGTACTAACGAGTCGTTGGTAAAAAGAAAAAAGGTTGACCAACGTGGAAAATCAAACTCGTCACGCTTTAAAATATTTATTCGTCCTCGCTTGGTGGTTCTGTTATCCACCGAAGGTCTCAGAGGCGAGAATGTCAGCTCGACGGCAACGCGTTATTCGCCGGTGCCAGCGAGTCCTAATTCGCTCGGCGAACTTTCCCCGTAAATAAATTTTTAACGAGATACATGCACGGTACCGGGTGCAGGTCGCGGCCTCGTACGAGTTTTACAACTCGACGGCTGCTTATTTCTGGTAATTAACTCCTCTACATGGAGCCACTTGTTCCCGGGAGTTGAACCGACGCGCTTACAACACCGTTTTTGCCCTATGAAATTTCTTCGCCGCCGGTTTTTTCCTTTCTTCGCCCCTGGGCCGCGACTCGTCGGCCAACGCCGTGTGATTTTACAACGAAATCCTTTCAGCGTTAATCGTTCTTACTGCGCCGTTGGGCCGCACATCCAACTGAACCGGTATTTCTCGACGAATTTATGTTTTTTCTGAAAATATCTTTTTTCTTTTTTTTTTCCTTTCAAATCTCGTCGTGAAATTTTTTGACAATATAGTTGACTACGAATCGCAGTTTCACACTTTACGTTTGAAAATTATTATTTTGAAGAATTTATTTGTTTTTTCTTTTTTTTTTTTTCTTTTGTTAGAGGAAACGAAACACGTAAAAGTTAGAAAGACCCATTAAAACAAATGGGGCAAGGGACAGGTTGAACTGAAGGAACGAGAGAGATTGATTGTTTAGACAGAGGAAGGAAGGGGATCCCTATGGAGGAGGTATTTAAGAGAGTGATTAGAGGAAAGGCTTGTTGTGAAGGAGTGACAGGAGAAAAGAAAACACAGGGCCGAGATTACAAGACGCGTTCGAACAAACATGCCAGTCTTCGTAATTCAAGTGTAGTTAGTAAAAATAAAGCAAGAAATTGGACAGACCACTTGTGCCCTGTGACTCAACCGAAACCATAACACGTTCCCCGCTGCGTTGTCCGTTAACGGGAATTGGATTACTCTCAAACGCTTAATTGGGAGAAAGGTGAAGTTTCCATTAAAACCGAACGCGAATCATATGGGTGCAGAGAATGCAAAAGTGCATACAAAGTATGCACGACATTTAGTAACCAAAGTTACATCTCCTTAATCGTGTTTATAAAAATATAAAATCACATCAAGATTATGTTATATTCTACATAGCGCAAGATTTCAAAGAAAAAAAAAATGACTTCGAGTAAATCAATTTTATCAGTAACACTATTCTTTCAATTAATACATTCCAAAATATCCTTACTTCTCAGAAAGACGTAGAAGTATGTCAGAAGTATGTTCAAAAAGCAAACTTTCGGACGACGCAAAGCACAAGTAACAAATGCCAACTATCAAAGAAAATGAAAAAGAAGATCTCGTAACACGTAACTGATAAAACAAATCGATCGACGTTCTGAAGCGATTACGATCGTTTACACGCCGACATCGGCTCCCACTTTGGCCGTCCTATCGACGAGAGGATCCCGCAGGAACAACGAAGGGACTCTGGCTACGACCGGTAGAGAAGGCAGGTTCGATACCCGTATTTATAGACATCCTGGAAAAGAGCAGCGAAACGAGAGAAGAAGAAGTAAGTTATGCGACGTTTGGCCCGCCCCAGCCACTCATTCGGCGACCATAACTCTCGTCGGAGTGACAGCTCCGAACGGAAGGGTGTGTGCCGCGAGAAGAGGGAAATTGAACGCCTTTCGCAGCCCCACCTCGCGAGTTTCCCTCTTCTCCACGCCATCTGGCCCTCCTTCTTTCTCTCTTAACAGCGTCGCTGTCAAATTGATAACCGTTTCTTTCGCCCGTTCGCGCCGCTCGACGTCTCCTTCACGAGCCCTGTCAGCTTCCGGAGAGAGAAGTCGAAACGAACCTTCTCTGGGTCTCGTCGAGAGAACCAGACACCCTCCCGCGAGAGAGTGCCATCGTCCCCGGGACAAGTTGATTTCGTCGATTTAAATAATTTATGCGACATCCTCGCAACATCCTCCCGGGCAAAGGGGAAAGGAAAACAAGAATTACGCGGGATCGTTGCGAATCGAGCGAGCATCAGTGAAGATTTGTTACCTCCGTTGCCGGCCGCGAGCATGATATTAAACGAATTAGTGGAGGAGCCAGTGGGGAAGGGAGGAAGGGGAGAACGGTGGATTTTCGTTGGCGAAAGAAATGGAAAACAGAGGTGGGAGAATCGGCCAAAAGTCAGGCGAACAACAACAGAGATTTTCTATCTCGGCGGATTTAATAATTCCGCCTCGGCCCGCCTTTGTTAACTCTACAATTATTATTAATGACGATGTACGAGAGGGTCGTGCTCGTGGCCAACGCCGGCTGTTGATCCTCCCTTCTCTGTCTCGCTTCGTTTGTTTTCTCTCTTTCCCCCTGTGGCCTTCTCTCCCCTTCTCCTCCTCTTGCACCGGGCGTGAATGTAAATTAATTACTCCCCGGGCATTTCGCGAAAAACATATTAAGCGCCCCACCTTATTACGGCACGATATTACAGCATAAATCATGACTCACTTACGGATTACTATTTTTCACAGCGGGTGAGCGCGACTCCACCCCTCCTCCTCCCGCATCTTCGGCTAATCGAAATCTCCCGAACTAAATCCGCCAGCGAATAACTACTAATAGATTCTGGAATGAAGATAAGGTTCGCCTTATCCTGTCGCGTATTATTCCTTATCTGTCCCCTGCTTTTAAGCCTTTGCACGTGGAATGCCAGCTGACGTGTGTTACATCGATATGCGTTGCACGTTGTGTCTGATGAATTCGGATTGTCAATTATGTCAGCATAGATATTATTGCATTCTCCGATTATACTTTGGAAAGTTTATCTACTTTATTTATGAAAAATTTCGAAGCGTAAAAGTGCAAAAAATATATGTAAAATGTTCGTGAAGCGATACTATTTGTAATGGATAAAAATAATT